ATTATGCAGGCTGCATGAACTGTTACTAGAATGAAAAAATAGTCTGAAAGAATTAGACGAGGCAATTCATTCTGTAGTTGAGACAGATTGGAAGCGAATGCAGTTAGTTCTGAGGAACATCATGAAAAATGTTCCCGAGCATTTAAATGACTTGATCGAGTGTTAGAAGAGGATAAAATAAATATTTAAGATCCTGAGCAAAACAAGGTTAGACTGCAAAATAGTACATAAAGTACAGTAAAACTTCGAAAACTAGTGTTAGAAAAATATTCACTTGACCCTAATAAATTCACGGACTAATCCTAATAAATTAGTCTTAGTTACGAAAGCATTATAGACAAAAATAAAAGTCTTAGTGAGACAGAAAAATTCGCGTATCTGAAAACATTGCTCATAGGTGCCGCGAGTAATGTACCTTCTTCGTTAGAATTAAACAAAAAGAATTATGATGAAAGTATAAAAACTTTAAAGAAAAGATTCAGGAAAAAAGAAATAATAATTAGTCAATTCATAAACAAGCTGTTAAATCTAGAACCAGTAAAGAGTTCAAATAATAGCTTTACGTAGGTTTTTATGATGAAATCGAAACTGGAGTTCGGAAGCACAAAGTGTTACGAAAGGTTATTTTGGTCATTTATTAATATATAAGGCAAACAGGTACAGTCTTGCAGATTTCTTTGCTCCTGACGAAGAGGAGCCTGTACCTTTTTTCCCACGAAATCGATTGAAATCTTTACTAAATCTATGCCAAACTCAAGGTTCTTGCGTTTCTAATTTTACATTTCACTTGGCGTATTTCTCTGCAGTTTTCATCAGCAAACCTTCTAAATCACTTTTGGATTTGCTGAAGGAAGCATTATTATTATTATTATATTATTTAAGGTCAATAATGAATTTATGTCCACCTACTGAAGTGTCTGGTCAGCTTACAGTTGATGATGATGTCCTTGTTTATGACAGTCGCTTTCCTAGGAGTTTATGAACAATAGGTAAGATAATACAAACTTATCCTGGCAGAGATGGTAAGGTTCACTCCTGTTGCATAAAAACTCGAAAAGGTAACCTAAAGAGACTAGTGCAATTGTTGTATAACCTTCAAGTGTATTCTTATTAGTAAAGACTATAACTGTGCAATACTTTGATTTTGTTGTTTTGCATATATATCACTTATTGATTGTTGGTGATTTTTTAGGTTGTATGAGTATTGCGAATTTTGATTTTAATATAACTGATTCATGTTTCTTATTTAGTAATTAACTGTACAAGTTGAATTAATGTGTTTAGACATTACTTAATTGTTACTTGGAATTCGATGATGTTTAATAGTGTTTAAAATGTTGTGGTCTATTCAGCAATATTGATTTATTTTGTATTTGGTTTGTGTGAAGTTACGAGTTCACAGGGAGTGCTGGAAGTAGAGAAAGTAGATGGCGCTGCTTTGCAGTGGAATGAATGTAAACAAGAAAAAGTTTTGGTTCAGAATGTTATTGGTAGGCGAATGTTAAGAAAAGGAAACCGCGTATCAGCCCATTATGCAATATAATTTTTTCGAAGGCTGCCCACCTAATTAATAAGACAAATGTATATAACGATATATATATATATAACGATATAATAAATGTTAGTAATATAGAATCATGTGATGCTGCATTTTACGGGATGGGTCGCCTTGTAATATTGCTGTTCTAATATCAGGTAACAGCTCTGCTACCGAACGATCGAATTCCAGATTTATGCATCAATTTGACATCTTGGAGTTGATTTTGCCTATCCTATCTACAGAGTGTATCAGTATAGCGTTGACAAACTTTCAGGAGAGACAGAATACACGTACACGATGGGAAATCACATAGGAATGCATGGTCGGAAACGCTTTCCTGGTGCGGTAGAGACGACACAAGAGTCAAGAAAGAAGGATACGAACGGCGTAAGGAAACATGTTTATTATTCGAAGTACAACAAAAACAAAGAAAAAACAACATAAAGAGACAACGATCATCATTAAAGAATGTGTTCAAAGTTATGACTCGGACCGTGATGCAGCAACCGCGCGTCATGCATCTTCCATTCGTGATGCAGATCTTCATGCGGAGATGTGAGGCCTGCATCATGGTCCGGGGGCGCAATTTCGAACATCTTTTTTAATGACGATCGTTGTTTGTTTTTGTTCTTATTTGTAGGTTTTGCTGTACTAAACATAATAAAACATGTTTTGTCTCACTATTTGTGTCCTTCCTTTTTTGCTTTTTGTGTCGTCACTACCGCGGCAGGAAAGCGTTTCAGACCATGCATCCCTATGTGGTTTCTCATCGTCTAGCTGTACTTTATCTCTCCTGAAAGTATGTCAACTCTGTAATGATACACTCTGTATGTAAAGGGTGGTAAAAAAAAGAAAAATCTTACATCGCGTTATTCACATGTGTAGTAGCAAAGGCAACCCACTTAGAACTGGTGACATCACTCTCGGTAAAATGTTTTTACTGGCCTTCAGAAGACTTATTGCCAAAAGAGGAAATTGCTCTGTAATTTATTCGAATAGCACTAAAACATTTAAGAAAGCCAATTCAGAGCTACAACATTTTTCGAAAATTTTAAAGGACTCTAAATTTCAAAATTTCATTGTCACTCAAGGTATTATTTAGAAATTCCTGGTTGAACAAGCCCCATGGTAGGGAGATTTCTATGAGAGTCTCTAAAATCTGTAAAAGTTCCTCTAAGGAAAATACTCTGACTAGCGTGCCTCACTTTTAAAGAACTAAAAGCAACTGTGGCAGAAATAGAAATGGTTTTGAATATGAGACTTTTGACATATTTAAACAATGACATAAATGAACCCAAACTAATGACACATTTCACTTTCTTAACTTTGGAAAAATGACTAAATATCTCTTAAATTGCGTCGAAATAGATGGAAAAGTTTCTTGAGAATCTTTAACATAGATAAAAAAATGTACTAGACAGAGCTACTTGAATGACTCTGAAAGAAGTGAAAAGAACACTATTTGCTGGACTTAAAAGACTGTGCATCATTTGGGGACTCCTAGAACTTCAAAGATTTAAAGATTGGCAAGTTGTTCTGATTGAAGGATTATCAAAGTCCAAGTTTCTATGGGATTTAATAATCATTCAAGAACTGTTAATTGAAACAGACGGATAGACAAGTGCATGTGCTGTCAAAACGTCCAAAGGGTTGTATAAAAAAAACCATTTTAAATTTTGTATACATTTGAAGTGACTAATGAACAATAGCAAAATGTCATACCCTTTTGTTAAATCATTTGATTTAGACAATCTTATTTATAATTCATTAATAATATTTGATTCAATATATGTTTATTTAATGCAACTGTTTATATTTTTGTTTCATATGATTAGGAATAGTTTAGATTTCCCGAACTGTGTTAGAAATACAACTAATGTTAATTAATAAATATAATTGATATGATATTAAGCTTTCTGGAATGATAATATAATGATTGTAATTTTGAGTATATATTCTATTTATTTTACCTTACTAATTGTTTATTTCGTAATTATATTCTAGAATGTCCATCGATTCATGTGCCTGTATTAATTGCTAAATGAACAATTTGAACATATATTTGTTATAACTCAATTGAAATCAATGTTGAATATATTGATATAAATTTGATAAAAGTTAGATTGATGTGAACTCTTGACAGAGTTCAGGTGGGGAGTGTGTGAAAATTGTTTTAATTATCAATAGATGGCGTTAGCGTCGCGCATAAAAACGTGACGTGCCTTTTTCGCTTTCCGCAAACTCCCCGCCACACCGTCTCCTCCTTTGATTTCAGACGGTAAGTTGGATAGGAGAAATCAAGTTTCGCTTAAATGATTCGATTATTTGATTATCACCATATTTCGATTCGATTTGATTAAATTTAAACTGAACCACGGATGAATGTAAATTAACATAAATATTATATAAATATTAAACATCTTCCTTTTTAAACCATTTCATATCGATCATTTGCGTCACACGGAAAGCCGAATCGAAATTCGCTCATAACATTCAGTAAAAAGCCTCTCACTTATCTGTCACCTAGGGATTATATCTGCACAAACTCTTTGGCAGTACTGAAGACAATTAAAATGTCACAGGCACATCTGACATCAATTTCAAGGCTGTTAAAACCAAACTCTTGCAATTACTTCGCATGCAAAATAATTAGTATTTGCTTCGCTTGAATAGGGGGAAACGATTTTTCAGGGCTTAGGCACTGCAATTAATCATTACATGAAAAACAAAGGCTAAATGGCCGATCAAGAACTAGCAACTACGCGGCCAAAAGAAATGCGTACTTTTTACAGAAATTTCGTCGGAAACGGAAAGGAAATGTCGGAGAAACCTGCAACTTACTGACTAACAGTTCGAAAGTAATTTTATTTTTGTAATGTTTTCTATAAATGATTATTTTTGCATTTTTTATAAAAAGATTTAATGCAACAAAAGCGCAATATGTTTTATAATAAGTTGAAACAAACAAAAAGATTATCAGATTAGTGGTCAAGACTTTTATCATCGCTAATTATCCGTTACAGTCACATGAAACGATAACTGTGCTATCAAATTAATAATATTTTAGATGATATTTCTAACGTGAATTCTCTTTAGAGGCATTACAATGTCAGTTTTAATTATGACTAACATTAGCTCATAAAGTACTTTAAATTATTTGTCAGGTACATTCCTTATATCTCAGCAAATATATATACATGTTAAAAATGCATATTATAATATCTGAATATTCAAGCTGTAAACAGGTAATACATTACATTTGAAAGAATGCATATAATTAAAATAAAATAGATTCATATATATGGTTTATGCATTCCATGTAATATATATATATATATATATATATATATAAACGTTGAACCTTTGGAGCAGCAGCTCTTGGTAACTTTTAGGCGAGCTTACTACCATTTATATATATATATATATATAATAAAGAAACTTAGCATACTGTTCAACTTACCACCACTTCTACCCCTCGAAAGTTTTATAGCAGGAGATAAGCTGTCAGGCGAACTAAGTAGATGTGGAAGGAAATGATGAATTGACGGCAATTGAAGATCAACTCCCCCTTGTATGCCTGCAAGTAGCTGCTGAGAATCTTTAAATAATGTACCTAAGCTTGCACGAAATGAACTATTCACACTATCTAATTTACTGGCTGCATGTAGGAGATTGCCAAAGTTCTGCCTTAAATTAACAATATCACTTCTTCTTTCTAAGTTCAACATCTCGGCATGTTTTAATCTCTCATAAAGTTCAACAATTTTTTGATTTAATATGTGTTCTTCTGAAAGATCTGCGGATAAAAGAAAAGAGAAAAATTATTGACTAAAATAACATAAAATATCACAAAAATCTTGGACACTTCCGGCAAATAGTACTAAATTAATACAGTTGGAAATGCTCTCGACCATAAGAAAAAGCTTTTCTAAATGTTATAAAAAATTCCGAAATTGTCACCGATGCACAAAAGAGAATATTTTAATTTGCTATAGTTCAATTGAGAAAATAAAATAACAAAAAATGAGCGTTTATAACAATTTAAGAAATTAAAGAAATAAGATAAATACAAAACATCAGAATAAATTATACAAATTTGCTCTGCCTATTTTCTAAGACAAAATAACATGAAGGAATGGCGAAAAAATACGTTGTAAAAGAAAGACGACTGTTTAAATCAATTTCGGCAAAGCACGTGAGAGCTATCTACCTACGGGAAAGGATGTCTTCGAGAAGCAATCTCTCAGGGATGGCTAGGGGTCATGTTAAATATGGGAAAGCAATGATATAGGGGGATAAGAAGAAAAACAGAATTTAATGCATTCAGCGGATATGAATACCACCGGTAATTCAGAGTGAAAGGCCATCATTGTACCCTAAGGATAGCGCGTATTCTTCGAGGCCTACGGGGATACTACTTCATTCTTTTTAACATTGCTTGCAAGCAAGTAACTTTTGATTAACAACGTATTTGATTTATGCAGTATGGCACACAAAGTAACACAAAAACTTGCAATATAAAGCACACTCGCAAAAAATGACCGTAATATAATTACGCTGATTGTTAAAATGACTCCTCATTATTAAAAGAGACAGAAGAGATGGAAAAGACCTTTATTTAATAAGTGTCTCAAATATCCTCGTAAAACTATTGCTAATTCCCATGGCATATAATTAATTAAATATTTTCCTAAACACCTCGCAGCTCATTTCAAATGCTACAGTCAGTGAGCTGAGTATATTAATATACGTAGAAAACGATATATACAGGGTGCGGCAGCGTTCATAGCATAATTTGACTTGCGTAGCACAGTGACGTACTGCATGAATGCACGCCAGCTCGTGCCGCATTCGTGTACTAATGAGCTGCCATTTCGAGTGTGACAGTGATATGGATCGCTGGAGTGCACAGCATCGTGCCTTTGCTGTTGAAAGTTATTTCAAAAATAACTACTCTGTTATTGCTACCCAGCGTCTATTTCGGCACATTTCACTTTTTTGGACGTTATGGAAAGTTCCAGATGGACGGACCTTGCGTCAACATTTCCAGGTAGTAATTTCTCGTTTTCGTGATTTTCTAGCCCCTCGCTCACCTAATCTTTCATGTGCCGACTTTGGGGGTACCTGAAGCAAGAAAGTTTGTCCACCATTCCTGAGTTGAAGGATTCGATGCCGTCTTGCCCGGGAATGTTCGGAACACGCCGATATATGGCAAGCTTCCAACGCCGCCTAGAAAGGTGGTTGTGCAGAGGGAGCATCATATTCAAAAGTAATCCACGCATGGACATGACATTAGTAATGGCATAACTTTAATTGACATAAGAATGTAATAAATAAATTACAGTTACTGCCTTATGGTGTGTTTTTAATATCCTACTATGAACGCTGCCGCACCCTATATAAGGCTGCAGCTTTGCCCGTACACAGATCTTTTTTATCAGCGATAATCTCCAGCTTGTTCCTAACAATATCAACACAGATAAAATTAGCATGCTTTTCGGTTTGGTTTGGGTATACTTTTACTAGGAACACCTTGTATATAACTATTAACTGATTAATATCGCAGAAGCAGTAACACCAATTCAAAATACACTCGTGCAGTTGCACATTATGTCCTATTTCTGAAAAAAACTGAAGGATAAATTTTAATGGAATTTAGTATGAAGATACATTTATAACAGCGAAAGAGACGTACTGTTCAAAAGTCATTATAGGTATGATTAGTCATTTCATGATCATCAGTAAAGCACAAAATTCAGGGATATAAAAAATCCACGTTGTGAAAGCGAACTGAAAATGAATCTAATATAAGATATGGTCCCCTCTATAACAGAGAAAGAGACGTACCGTTCAAAAGTCATTTTAGGTACGGATGATAATCAGTAAAGCTCAAAGTGAAGGAATGTAAAAATTCCAAGTTGTGATAGTGATCTGAAAATGAATCTAATATAAGATATGGTCCCTTCTCAAAGCAAGACAGGGAGTGCAGTGACAGCATACTGGACAGGAGGCAGTTGAGTCCATGTGGCAGCCAATCCCACTCCAAGGCAGTTTTTTAACTTCGGGATGGTTCTCGGAGGGGGATGGCGAGATAATATTGCCTTCCCAAGAGCGTCCTACACATGCTCTGTTGGGTTAAGGTGAGGAGATCTGGCTGATTAATCTATAAGGCGAGTATCCTCATTTTCCAGGCAATCGTCGACCAGCTATGCCCTGTGTGGACGAAAGTCTTCATTCATTAGCAGGAACCCAGGACCAAAAAAGTCGAACCGCCCCTAAAAAGTCGAACCTAGGCCTCTAAGATCTCTCTATACTTCATAGCAGTCAGGGTTCACAAATTGCCAATCGTCCGCTGTCGATGAAATTATGCTCATAAGGTATAATATTCACATTCTTACGTAAGAGAACTTTTCTTTATATCAATTCAAAACTTCACTAAGAATTTTCATCCACAACAGAGCTGAGAATGAACTAAATATTTTAAATATGCATATTTATTTATTTATGACAATACACAGAAAAAGTAGATTAATTTGAATAACTCTGTAAAGTCATTAGGATTTTTATTTGGAAGCAAGAGAGATTGAAAAATTAGCAAGGCTTTCGCCGGGAATCGAACCGTGAACCTCTCAATTACGCGCTGAGCGTGCAGACCACTACACCACGAGGGCTCGCTAAGAAGGCGGGAGGAATACTTCATATACTCCCCCCTTTTAAAGGGCGACTGGGGTTTTTAGGGGGACCCAATCGCCAAATGGTGGGTGAGGAGAATCATCATCCAACACCCTTTTAGTTTGGGTGCCACTGTAGAGCCATTAGGATTTTTTTGGAAGCAAGAGCGATTGAAAAATTAGCAACGCTTTTGCCGTGAATCGAACCGCGGACTTGAAAATCACGCGCTGAGCGTGCAGACCATTACACCACGAAGGCTCGCTAAGAAAGCGGGAAAAATAACTTATAACTCTAAGAAATCTGATACTTCCTTGAAACATTTACTACATACTACACATTCTTCGATTATAGGATGCGCAAAGCCAAACAAATAAAATTCAATAAAGTAAAACCTTCAAGTTGCAGGGATCAATTTGACAAATGAATAAGTTTCCGCTTTATGATTCATCTGGATCCACTAAGGTGTGACAACTAGGTCAATACAATTGCGGTGACGATGGTATACATAATAGAAGAAGGACAGTCTGTTAAGATTGCCATCAGGTCTATTAGTACCATTAGTGCCTACTTTGCTAAAGTTAAAACGCGTAAAATTGAAGCATTACACACCATTGGGTTCAATAGTTTCTACTGCCTCATCCAAGGACAAGGGCAAATAAATTAGTTCTTTATTCGAATTTCTGACAGAACAAAAAGGAAAATACACTATAATTTGATTGCAATCACATAATGCCGTAAAGGCGGATCAGGAAATCATCCCGAGGAAAATTGAGCGATTTTGATCTGATTACCGTTCTTTTCTGTTAAAAAGAGTAGTTTATACTGCGTTAATAGTTAAATATTTTAATACCTCTGGTTTGTAAGAGCCAAATCTCTTTCTCACATAAATGCCCACCCCCTCCAATAACAGGCCCTCAGCCGAATAATGAAAAAGAAAGATAGCGAGCATAATAATTGCCTTAAAGAAAGATAAAATAAATTACGTAATGTTAAAACACGAATAATTTGCACCGTGCGTTTTAATCGATAAGCTTCTCGTCTGGGAGCGCAAAGCGATTAAACTGACTATTTAAAGACCAGCAAATGGAAAATATGTATTTCAGGAGGTATATATATATGAAAAAGTTAATATGAATGGGTAACGGAAACAGTACACTTTTCAAAGCATGATTCAAGATCGAATGACGAATCAAGATCGATCGAAATGACGCGTATAAATAGCACATAAAGGAAAAACAAACAATACGTAAAACAAAATACATTTTTATTAAATTTCTCGGCGAGTAAAATCTGTTTGATCTTCTCACTTTCACCACAAACTCTTATTTTGGAGTATGTATCGAATTTATGCTTTTAATCAGTTTATTAAGCTTTTAAAACAGTTAATTCAGTTGTTCTGTTTTTTAAGCGTTATCGTAGTTTTCTTCACTTTATTTCGATATAAGGCGTTAAGTAGCATATGAATGGTTCTAACTACAGAGCTATCATAAAAGATTAATTCCATTATATATTTAAAAGCAGTACACGTACAAATAAATAACAGGGTGGCGATAAAAAAAACTTCCGCGATATATGGACCTGGCGGCCTATCCACTCACCAATCGAAAAGAAATTTCAGATACTGTTACTTGAAGCTCAGCGTTCCAGATTGTGATGATTTAAAACAAAAGAGCTCTCATGGTTTTCGAAACTTATGAACGGCAAACTCACTTTTTTCTGGCGCAAATCGATCAGCGCGCTAAAAAACCAAAAATGGCGTTGGAACAATACACACAGGATAAAAATTGTCGGCGTAAAACATTTGAGAAGAAGAGCATTGTAATAAACCAGTAACAATACAAGAGAGGCGTGGGAAAAATTTTTTATTGGTGTTGGTGTATTTAATTATGGCAAAGCACACTAGGATCGCCTAAGGGGGGATGCCTCGCGGCGGGACTTCTAAGGAAACTGGCTCGTATACCCTTAAGCATGGGAAAACACGAAACACCCATGCATCCAGCCATTCGCGGATTCGAACCTCGGACCGACTACAGGGTCAGCGACTTAGCGCGCGGCTGCTGTGGCCTATTGTTGCAATATGATTTGACTCGAAGTAAAAACTGTGGATAGTAGACCTACAGGACAAAAACTCCCTATTGCTGTAAACAAAACTTTAGGATTAACGTGTTTGTTCGTTGTCTCGTTATTTTGGCTTGTTTAGCGCAGCCAAAAAACAAGTCAAAGATTGCACAAAATCGGTATCCATGTACAGCCAAAAATCGCCAAGGGTACCCTAAATATACTTTACCAATATTTGAAACGAGCTTCATTGTGTTACAATTAAATGTTGAAGTCGTTATATAATAGATTATAAAATTTTATTATATTTTTTACATATTTAATAATTAGATTTTTTCATAGTAACATTCCTATGAGTTTAATAAGTGAACAAATCCTTCATTTACAAATAACGTAATAAATATTTACCTGTTTAGTTAAAAGCAAGTCCATGCTTTTTACTAGAATATTTTGCATAAATATATATTTAATACTTTTCATTTTCGGCATGTGCAAATCTTTAATTTCTGAGCATTCGCCACATTTTTCGAGTAAGGTAATTTACAATAACTTAGCCGTTGAAAGTTCTTTTTGCTCTTCTTCAGAATCGCTAGTTTTAACATTTTTGTGTTCTTTTTGATCCGCCAATTCCTTGACTTCATCACTAGAAAGACGTTCTACTGTTTCTTGCAAAATTTCTTCGACATATTCCACATTTACTTGTGGAATTTTTGTCAATTCAAAGGAGAAGTCCAGTCTTCGAAAGACTCCAAAAATTTTAAGATGTTATATATCGGTATATCGATTGGTGAAATAAATGACGATCTCTGCCTAGGATTACCTAGGAATTATTACGAAAGATACAGTCTCATGTGAAAAAAAGTATTAACTGCAGTCTATTACTGTGAATGATTGCGAAAATTGTGACGAAACTGTATAAAACTGACTTTACTTGCTTACAGATGGGGAATTAATTTTGAAAGACACCCGTATTTGAGAAAGTTGTGATAAATCTCCTAACCAAATACAAGCAGGAAAGTTTAACTCAAAAAAAGTAAAATCCTCAGATTTCTAATTTTTTTCCAAACTGAAAGAGCCCCAGCGTGGCAAGGATTTTCCTTTTGAAAGAGTATTTACCCAAGACATTCAAGGACTAAAAGGAAGAGTGTAACTTCCAAAACATTGGAACACGATTGTTGTGAAGTAAAAGGTATTGCACAGAATGAATGTAAGCAGGCACTCTGAAATATAATTAACGTGAGAAACAAATATTATTAGATAGCATTATTTTTTTAAAGTACAATTTTTTTAAAGTACTTGTATACTTACTTTGTGCTATTCCGATGGCCATTGTCTGCTTTCAGAGTAACGTAGCCGTGATAGTAATTGGCCGAAATGAAATTATTTGCAATTTTGTTTGCTATTCTGGCGAGTGCGGCGACAGTTTGAAATCAAACTGAATGATTACATACATATTATATAATTGAGAAATTAAATTTGTGATTAATAGAAGAAATGTCACTGTATGGTTTATATTTAAAAAATTAAACTACAGTTTAAGAGACCAAACGGCCACAAGTAGCTCGAGAGCCGCAGTTTGGTCATGCCTGTTATATACCTTCAATTCAGATTTTTTATCAAACTTGCAATCTCACTAAAAATTTCCGAGACCCACAATTTGAATACCACTAATGTACTTAATAACATTCACGTAAGAACAAAAAATTTAATTTAAAAGCGACATTCATCACAGTTACCCCAGATTTTCCATCGTCAACACTTTATTTAACAATTATTATAATTTAAAAAAAAAAAAAAAAAAAAAAAACCATACATCTCGTTAGAAACTGGAAAACGACCCTCAGAAGAATAGCCAAACATTAATATTTTAATGATTCCATAAATTTAAAATTTCACATGAAATGATATTGAATTTCCGTTTATCTATCTTGCACAAAAAACAGGGATAATCGAAAAACAGACCAGTAATATTGAAATTAATTCACAGATATCATAAAAAATTTAATTTTTCAAAGGGTTCATATGAGCGATATACAGTGCACTGCTTAAAATGGAGTTGGATTAAATTAATAAAATTAGTCCACATTTTATTCCAAAAAAATTCTGTTCAGTTCACATATGAATAATATACAGCCACAACGGCATTCTTTTAGTCAATTCAAGAGCAAAGCTATGACGTCATTAAATTCAAACCTATTTTATTCAACCATTTAGTCTAAGAACTTGTCTATATATCTCAGTGTCCCGGCTTGGCCTTATCTAATTCAGCGGTCGCCCAATGATGGTCCGCAGAAAAATTGGGACATTATTGATATTTTTATGAAGATTCAATTTAAAAAATGACAAATAACAAAATCTATTATGGAAGATGGATTATACTTTTTTTTTTCCTTAAATTTTAGCTACTACTTTTACAGAAATTCCTTCAATGGTTAGGTTAGGTTAGGTTAGGTTATTTAATTTCGGCAAAGCCTCGAGGGCTATCTGCCCAAGAGGAGGGATGCCTTCGTGGAGAACTTTCTAAGGGAAACTGGTTCGTATACACGTTACACATGGGGAAAACCACGAAAACACCCATGTAGCCATTCGAACCTCGGACCGAACTACCAGTGTTCAGCGACTTTACTGCTCGGCCGCTGGTGGGTCCAAGTTCCTTCAATGAATTTAGCTACTTTTCAGTTACTTTTGCAGGTGTGTCTAGCGACACTTCAAAAGTGAGAGTTGGCATCCATGGATATGCTGCTGTTTTCGCGTAGAGTAGACTTTAAGGTACCCCTTGTATTATGGCGAAGTTGTTGTTTGATTTATCGCCAAGTTGTTGTTTCATTTATGGTAGCCTGTGTAGTTGAATGTTATGGAAACCCTATTTGACGTAATGGATGCCGATTCTGGGAATTTTGAATCATGGGATGTTTGTGAGCGTTTTTTGTGGTGTGGTTTGTTTTGATTCTTTAGAAGGTAGAAATGGCAGAATGTAGTAAGAATAATTTGAAGTTTCTGTACGATTGGGAGCGAAGGAGAAAGAGCTTTTAATTGACTGGTTATAAATAAAGGTTTACTTAGTAGCTATTCATAAGTGTCCTGATGTAAGGAATAATGCGTTAGACGTTAAAAACCGTTTGATGGATTTGAATGGGTTTGTAGGAAGAAAGGTTCATATGGTCATATGTGAAGCGTTCGATCGAAAGAGTACCTGGTTTGAAAAAAGTCATTTGAGTATGATTTATATTTTGATTTTTACGTGGCTATGGGTGTACGAAGCGAATTCGAAAATTGGAGTGAATATTGCTTTTGGTAGTACTTAAATGTTAACAGTTTTTCCTTTTTTGTTCTTTTTGTTTGGTTTAAAATGTATTTTTATTGAGATTCTGTCGTTTTTTGTTTGCCTTTATTGTAAATTGGTGTTCCTTTGACTTTTTAAGTGAAAATATATCGATGGATACATGGACAAAGTAAAGGGAGTGCGCAATGCAAGTTTGTGCAATTCTGGAAATTTGTTTTTTTTTAAGTGAAAATAGGTCTACGTGTACATGGCTGAAGTTAAAAGAGTGCGCAATGCCATTTTTGTGCAATTCCGGGATTTTTTTTAAGTGAAAATAGGTCGACATGTACATGGATAAAGTCAAAGGAGTGCGCAGTGCCATTTTTGTGCAATTCGAGGATTTTCTTTTAAGTGAAAATAAGTCGATGTGTACATGGATACCGAGTTTGTGCAATTGTTTGTCTTGTTATTTTGCCTTTGTGTAGCGGCGATTTTTGGGGCAAAAATCGCCGAACGAGTCAAAGAATTGCACGAAATCGGTTTCCATGTACCGCCAAGTTTCGCCAAGGGGTACCCTAAACTATACTTTTACCCTGTTTTCAATAATAACGTGAACTGGAATTCTCTTTCCTTTTGAATTACAAACATATGCTAATGTAGTTGTTAATAACACAGTTTGTCTCCGTGTCAATAGGCAAGTTGATGGATTTTTATGAGAACCGTCTGCACTGCATCACTGGAAGTTTCCGTTTTTGTTTTGTCTAACTGTTGATTGATGGGGCCATTGCTGAATAAGCGATGATTATTATGTTTACAATAATTAAAAAATTGGCGGCATAACACTTTCAGTTTATTGATACTGCGGTTAATCTTTGGATTATGGTAATTTGGCGACTAACTCTGCTACAGCAACCCTCTATTTTTTTTTTTTTTTCGCCGCCATTTTGTCTTCACGAAGTAAAGCATGTTTCTTTTCTTTTTATTACTCAACACTTTTCCAACAATCTGCTAGCCGAATTACTTATGCTAGAAATTTTATGGAACAAAACTGCTTAATCATGACAATATTAACTGCAAAATTGGGAAAAATGCAGAATCGGAAACTCCTTGCCGCCGTTTTCAAAATCGCACATACACGTAACCATGTACACGTCGACTTATTTTTACTTAAAAAAACATCCCAATTGCACAAAAATGGCCATTGCGCACACTCTTGACTTTATCCATCTACACTGCTATTTCTCATAAATTAAAAAAATTGCACGAAAATCCAAGAAATTTTGTGAATCTTTAAAACTCGGTAAAAAGCACATATTTAAAATTACCTGATCGTGAAAATTGTTTATAAACCTCACCTGCCAATTTCTAACGCAACATTCAAATGGTTCCAAATACTTTGTGTCAAATACTTAAATTCTTTCCATGCATTTACTTCTACTCAACGTATTCCAAAATACTACAAACATATAACTCTCAAAATCACGATCATTAAATTAAAATATATTAAATTAAAAACACTACTTAAATATAAATAAGCACATACATTAAATTAATAAAAATTAGCTTACATTCTAATTACTTTAAATAATAACAATAATAACAATTTTCCAATAATACCATTTAATTTATTACTCCTTACATTTAGAACAATGCATAAAAATAATATCCTCAAATAATAAACTAACTTACCTATCTTCTTCTACAAATCTTGAGTGCATGGCGGATCACAAAATGTCCATTTTCACATTCTTTTCTTTTTGCAACCGCTATTCAAACTTATCTGTAATATCCTCCTTTCACACAACCTCATTTCATTCCAACTGTTGGATTCATACTTATCCGCAATAAGCAATTCCTTTTCAAATACATAAACGCAATAAAAATTTCGGATTTACTTTATATAGGGCCATGTAATCCAATATTAAACACACTGTTTCACAGAATATAGAATGAAACTAACGCTATAAATACAGCAGATATTTTTACAAATTTACCACCAACCCCCTTTTCCGATTAAAGAACAGTGATTCGTCCATTAATGTCACATGACATATCTCATGATCTCTCATTTCCCTCACACAAAATAATGCGTAATCGGAACTGAGTACTTCTCACATTATTCCTAAAGCCCTAGGTAGTAACCTTTATCGCCTCCAAAATGTCGCCAAACTACCTGTTACCATATTCCAAAGATTAGCCGATACTGCTTTACGTTTACCAGTTTGTTCTTGCTTTTAAGTTCCTTTTCAGTGATATGAAAATGTGAAGCTTTCTGTACAAGGTAAGATTTTTCTATTTTTCATATAATTTTTCAATCTGAACGAAATATGTGTATCAGTGAGATGTTAATAGTGTTTTAATTGTTCCTCATTCAGGGCGTGGCCCAATTTCCTAGGCATGCTGCTGACACCAAATGTTAAAAATTATTACAATGAATAGAATTGCTGTATGGAAAGTTGAATATTGTTTTTGCGTATTAATATGTTGTTGTTAAGGTCCGATTTGTTTTTTTTAATTCATATAAGTGGTCCGCGAAATATAAAATTATATATGTAGTGGTCCGTGAAGTTCTAAGGGTTGACGATATTGATCTAAACCATCTTCCAGTTTCTGCCTTGTTCACTGATCGCAGTGTGATGGCAACTGTCAAATCATCCGTCTTTCACCCAGTATATTTAACAGCATGATAATGCTAGAGCACCATCCATTCATAAGATGTGTTTAGCATAGCATGTGAAAGCATAGAAGCCGAAATGAAAAACCGAGACATTTATCTCCGCACCAAAAAAGTTACTGACTTTCAAAATACCAACCATCACTGACCTCAAGAAAACTGGAATACAATTTTACACCTATCAAATTAATAACGACGTTAGAATTAAAGTAATTTTAAAAAATATGCCTAACTCTATAATCCAAACAGAATTTTTTGAAGACTCAGCTAGAAGAAGTTTTCCCATATTCAAATTTTTCAAACAAATCGGAGACCAGAAAATTCTTCTCCCAATCTATTTTCTTGAACTCCATAGGAACTCTGCAGGCGAAGCTATTTTCATCGTTTAAACAAC